TAATATAAAATATCTTTAAATATAACCAAATAAAGTTAAATAAAAGACATATGCCTATTTCTACCCTAATGAAGTATTTACCAAGATGCAAAGTAAATTCTAAGTTAAATGCAATAGTTTCAAACTGGTGAATAAAAAAAGCTAAAATTCCTCAGTCCTTCCAAACCTTGTGAAAATACAAGACCTGAATTATCCTATTAATACTACAGCTCACATTAGAATTTATTAAAACTTCTTCAAACCGACTGCTCATGATATAAGTTTCCTGAAGGTCAAAAATACTCCAATTTGAGTTATTTAAAAGCTGCCACATGCAAAGAACCAAAGCTACTATGCCTGATTAAAAGACCCTCACTACTCCAATAAAATTAATGTCTGAAAACTCTAGTCCCACTTCTAAGAGACAATATGCTAAATGAATTAAAATTCTTTCAACTGGGAATTCCTTGGTGGTCCATTGGTTAGATCTGCACTTCCACTGCAGGGGCACAGGTTCAATCTCAGGTTGGGGAACTAAGATCTTGTTAGCCACGCCACAGGACCAAAAAACAAAACCAAAAAAAATGATTTACCACGGAATTTAGAATTTAGTCTCCATACTACAAAGATGGCTTGGACTTATTAGTCACATGAAGAAACCTGGCAGACACCATAACCAACATCACCAGTTTTTAATAAGACAAACCAATATTGTGAGCCTCCTGACATGATGCACTGAAACACTTTGTGGTGTTCCTGCTGAAAGCAGATAAGCAGAACTGAATCAAACGGAAACACCAAACAAACCCAAACTGAAGGACGTGACAAAATACCTGACCCATACACTTCACGAAATGTCAATAAGCCAAGACAGACTGAGGAACTATTCCAGATTAGAGGAGACTGAAGAGTTATGATGACTGAATGCAACGTATGATCTGATCAGATTGACTTTAGCTAATAAGGATACAACCGGAACAGTTGGCAAAATCTGAGTAAGATCTGTAGCTTAACCATGATGAGGCACTATCATCTCTCTTTTGACCACTATACTGTGGCTATGAGATACTATATCCTTGTTTTTAGAAAATACACACTGAGAAAAAGTTCCGAGGGATAACGAGCAGCATGCTTGTCACTCTCAAATGGTACAGCAAAACAAAACAATGCAAAATGGTATTGTTTATGTATTTAGAGAGGAAGAAAAAGAATAAACTAAGTCGTGTCCAACTCTGTGCGACCCCATAGACGGCAGCCCACCAGGCTCCGCTATTCCTCTATTCCTCCAATATCTGAGGAATAGAGGTTAAGGGTACTTGCAAATACTTCGTACCACTACTGCATCTTTAACTCTGAAATTGTCAAAATTCAAATTTAAAAGAAAAAAATAATACAGTATGGAAGTATGGATTAGTAACATTGCTTAATGAACTTGAAGATGAAAGAAAACAAAGCTGCACTGGAATCTAGAGACTATGCAATGTATTAGACTCATTCATGCACTAACCAACTACCTCCTAACAATACCATCAGCAAAACTATGTCATGAAGTTACTGTCAAATTCACAGATATCAAGAATGGCATGGGTCTATTCTAAAATAAGCAACACAAATTAACTTTGAGGTAACAATGACTCATTGGAAAAAGACCTTGATGCTGGGAGGGATAGAGGCAGGAGGAGAAGGGGATGACAGAGGATGAGATGACTGGATGGCATCACCGACTCGATGGACATATGTTTGAGTAAACTCAGAGAGTTGGTGATGGACAGGGCGGCCTGGTGTGCTGCGATTCATGGGGTCGCAAAGAGTCGGACACGACTGAGTGACTGAACTGAACACTGGAGATACATTTTCTAATACATAATTTTGCATCTTAAAAAGTAAAAAGCTAATTTTTTCTTACAGTAACATCAAAATACAATATAAATACTCCCTTAATATTGTTAACCTGTAAGTCAGAATTAAACCTAAATGAGAGTACAATTCTATTTCCTGTTTTTTTCTGCATTAATACTCCCATTAGTATACAGAAAAGTTTAGATCCTAACACTTGCAAAACACAGATTTCCCTGGCCATATGCAGCGAACTCTGATCCCACAGATCAACACTAAGATTTATTGCAGGAAGTTGAGGAAGTAGTGACTAGAGAGAGGAAAAGTGGTAATAAGTGAAGCTTTTGTTTGCTTTCAAGCAATATTAATTAAGCAGTAACAAAAGCTTAATCGAGAGTGAATTTTAAGAGAAACAGCCAGATGTTCATCATTCAGGACAAAACAGTTCAATTTTAAGTACAATATACATCACTGCTTATTGATTAGTTCATCTTTGAATGGATCATAAGCTTAGTGCTACAAAATGACACACAAAATTGTAAGCCACAAATGAAACAAAACACTTGGCCTCATTTTCACTAAATAAATGGGCTAGAAATTGAGATTGGAATGGGCTACAATTATAACAGAGATTTGATGGAACGTAAAAAATAACCCAACAAGGACTGACTAAGGTTTTTTCAAATGAGCTTTCTCAGAGGGTTTAAGAAGATGAAAGATGAATCACATCTTAAAACACTGAATCTTAGGACTAGGGAGGTTCACTGACTTTAATTACAGAGCGAATGACAGCAACTCCTGGGTCTCAATTTAGTATTCAACACATTGACTCAAGAGAAACCACATAAGTGCTTAAAATGAAAAAAACAAGCTTTGAAGACATATTGCATACTCAATCAAATCTTGCCCACCTGAAACAATCTGCATTGAAAGTTGACCCAAAGATTTTTTTTTTTAAAAAGCTACTGTGTTCCAAAGACTGTTTATCCAACCCTAGCACCAGTCCTTTATTTACTATTTTTCTGATGAGAAAAGAATTACAATAAAAGATATGTAAATCATCAATGTAGTTAATTTTTAATGAGTTTTTTTTTCATACCTTAATTGCTACTTGCTGCTGCTGCTAAGTCACATCAGTCATGTCCAACTCTGTGCGACCCCATAGACGGCAGCCCACCAGGCTCCGCTATCCCTGGGATTTTCCAGGCAAGAGAACTGGAGTGGGTTGCCACTTTAATTGCTACTTAGCTAATATCAAATGTTTACAATGTATCAGGCGCAGTTAAGTATTTTACATGTACCAAACTCACTCACTTTTGAAGTCTAGATTTCCAATGACAGTCAATTCTTTTCTATGGATTAGGTTACAAAGATAAAACCTTTTCACTTACAACATTAACAGTCAAGTCAAATTATACCACAAGGTTTTATAAATACAAGCCCTCTCTTGAAAATAACCAAACTACCAAAACATACTGCAACTTTACATATGAAGAAGTTAAGGCCTAGAAAGGTTAAGTAACTTGCCTAACATAGCTCATTAGTAAGTGAAGGAGCCAGGACAGAACACAAGTCAGGCTTCCAAGCCCATGCTCCTAAACCCTAAGTTTTATTCCCTACATTTTTACAGTAAAATAAGACAACATTTAAAAGCTAGAGGGCTTCCCTGGTGACTCAGATGGTGAAGAATCTACTTGCAGTGCAAAAGACCTGGGTTGATCCCTGGGTCAGGAAGATCCCCTGGAGAAAGGAATGGCAACCCACTCCAACATTCTTGTCTGGAGAATCTCATGGACAGGAGCCTGGCAGGCTACAGCCCACGGGGTCATTAAGAGTCAGACAGGACTGAGTGACACACTTTACAAGTTAAAATCTGTTGGCCTCTAGTACAAGTGCAGCATACCAAGAATAAAATCTTGTTACATTATAATTAGAACCTCATTTACTTAACCATTTCTCCATATATACTTTTTAGAACATCGCATAAGAGTACCATATATTAAGACTACACTCTAATTAAATCATAAATTCTGAAAAGTAATATACATTTTTAAAGCACTTTGTATTTATTAGACTTCCCTGTAGCTCAAATGGTAAAGAATCTGCCTACAATGCAGGAGACCAGAGTTTGATTTCGGGAAGATCCTCTGGAGAAGAGAATGACAATTCACTCCAGTATTCTTGCCTGGAGAACCATGGGGTTCTCCATAGATGCCTGGCGGGCAACAGTCCATGGGGTTGCAAAGAGTCGGACATGACTGAGTGAGTGACTAACACACACACGTTTATTAGAGGATTAAGATTAAACTTTCAGATAAATTGTTCACTCTATTAAACTGAGGGCAAATATGCTCAGTTGCTCAGTCGTGTCTGACTTTGCAACCCCTTGGACTGTAGCCCGCCATGCTCCTCTGCCCGTAAGATTTCCCAGGCAAGAATACTGGAGTGGGTTGCCATTTCCTCCTTGAGGGGATCTTCCCAACCCAGGGATCTCACTCCAGTCTCCTGTGTCTCCTGCATTGGAAGGTGGATTCTTTACCACTGAGCTACCTGAAAATCTCCAAATCTGAGTCACTATAAATAAAATATTCTCTTACCCCTGAGGTTGACCTGGTCTACACATCCACATTCCAAAACACCAAGAATTTTATTTCTTTTCCACTCCTTTTTAAAACTTTTCAGTATGTAACCACTGGTTGATTTTCTCCACAGGTGACACTGCTTCTTATACAATAATAAATCATGGGAGAATTTTACCTTTTGTTTCCTAAGTTTTTAAGAATATGTATTTTCCTAGGTGCTTCTATAACACATCAGAACCAAGAACACCTTTTCTTTACTGAATTTCAAAAGGGCATTCATCTTCCCATAAACGGGATTTCAATATTTATCTTATTAAAAAGTACCATTAAGCACTATTTTGTGCTTATGACCAGGAGGCATGGTATGCACAGACTGAAGTAATAACAGGAGTGAACGCATTATTTTCAAAGTATTTTTCCCACTATAAAGCAGATGAATTAGGATGACTGAAGTTCAGCAAGCAAGGGCTGTAACTACAGTAGCTCTCAAATGATAGTCTTTCTCAGTGTGATTTTATAGTTTAGTTTTCTGAATAATTTGTTTAAATTAGCTTTCTATGTTTTCTAATTCCCACTGGTCTAATCTAAAAATTCAAGTCTTACCTGTCAAGATTGTCTGAAAAGCAGCTTCCACGTTTGTAGAGTCTAGAGCAGATGTCTCAATGAATGACAAACCATTTTTTTCTGTAGGGAGACACAAAACTTCAGTCTTGTCAAATTTAAAAATACAAGGGACGTAATACACTCAGATCTTCAAAAGGAAAATAAAAGAACTTTTTAAACCCCAGGTTCTCCACCACTTCTTGAGCAATAAGAACACCATGCTACTTCCACTTTAGTAGATTAAAAATGAGAATTTTCATTGGCTTCTTAATTAAAACAAATACTTGCTACATCTAAATACTACCATTAGCAATGAATAACACTGGGCATAATGTAGTAAACTTATCAAACACCCAGCAAATTTCATCCCTTACTGAACTTCCGTCTAACACATAGCTGTGGTATGAACAAGGGTGGGTATATGTGATTCACTTAGAATTCTGTTACTATATTGTCTGAAACGAAGCTCCTTGACTAGAAAACTGAAAACTTTACTCATAGCATAATCAACAGTGAAAGCTCACAGCTTGCACTAGTCAAGAATGTACCATGTTGCCCTCTGGTAGGCTGCCCCTACCAATACAGAGTCAGGATAGGCAGATTCTCTCTTAAGCCAAGAAAATTATAACTCCAAAGCAGCTACATCCCTGTTGGTCCTTTTCATTCCTGGGCCACTACTTTTCAGACCCACATAGAACAAGTCTTGGTAAAACAAAGACATACTGGAAAAAGGCAGGAAGCACAGAACAAACTGATCTTATCTACCACTTCCAGGGAGAGAAAAGACAGTATTTATAGTCAAGTTTTGGCAGCAAAAATTTAATATGACAGGTCTAATAACTCAAAGTTAAGCAAGAGAGTCATACAGTCATCATACACTTTCAAAACAACAATATTTGTCAAGCACTCATGTTTACCTTTCCAAAACTGTTGCAACCCATTACCCTCATTGGAAGGGTCACGAAAACTGCAAGAAATACAGAAGCACTGTAATATCATAGAATTCGTACCACTAACCTGCAAAAGCTCTTGCTTCATCTGTAGGAACTGCCCTGAGATGGCGCAAATCACTCTTATTGCCCACAAGCATGATAACAATGTTACTGTCAGCGTGATCTCTCAATTCTTTCAGCCACCGCTCTACATTTTCATATGTGAGATGTTTAGCAATGTCATAAACCAATAAGGCACCTACAGCTCCACGATAGTATCTGAAAACAGAAAAACGTATTTAACAATTAGACAACAACTGTAAGATGGGAGAGAACACCAGAAAAGACTAAGTATATGAACTGCACACACACACACACACACACGTACTTTTTTAAACACACAAATTTTGGGATCCTAATACAGGAATTCTTTAAAGGAAACAAAACAGTAATTTTTTCCAATACCAAAAGTTAGCTAATCCACTTTGACAGCTATTTCACAGAACTTAAAAATGCTGAGACACTTCCCTGGTGGTCTAATGGTTAAGAATCCACCTACCAAAGCAAGGGACACCGGTTTGATCCCTGGTCTGGGAAGATTCCATGTCCTGTGAAACAACTAAGCCCATAAGCCACGTGCTGCAACCAGAGTGCTGCACATGTAGCAATGAAGACCCAGCACAGCCAAAAATAAATAAATAAAATCTAAAAAAAAAATGCTGAGACTTACGCTGATGTTATAGCACGGTATCGTTCTTGCCCTGCCGTGTCCCATATTTGTGCCTTTATTGTTTTCCCATCAACCTGGATGCTTCTTGTTGCAAACTCTACTCCAATGGTGCTCTTGCTTTCAAGATTAAACTCATTTCGAGTAAATCGAGACAGGAGATTACTCTTTCCAACACCAGAATCTCCAATAAGAACAACTAAAAAGACAAAGTACTTAATGTCAGATGGATGAGGCACACACATTCAGAATACCATCATGTTTTAAAACAAAAAATATAGGGCATCTGATTTTTAAAAAAGGAATGAGGGTAGGGAGAAAGAGTTGAATGCCCATGTTACCAATCGATAAAATCAATTTATTCTTTTTAACGTGTTTGTACCTGCATAGTGTCTTCCACACATCATCTACTTAGCACAGATAAAGTATCCTGTCTTACAAATGCAAATATTAATCATAGGTCTACTAGGCACTGATGACGAGCTAATGCATTAATTTAACAATCAACACTATACCAACCTTATTACCTTACAAGGTTATAACTTGCCAGATAAATCCTAAACCAAATGAACAATCTGTGATATGAAAATGTATTAGAGATGAGAGCAATGAAAGATGTCAGTGCCCTACGTATGTTCTACTCAGTTTCATCAAAGCCTGGGTGTGAGCTCAGGACTCATACCTCGGCAAAATGAATCATGTTTAACACAGTAGGCAGCAAGTTCATAAACTCTGCCACCCAGATCACAGAAACTACAATGACCCTCTCATAGTTACATTTATCAGACTAGCAGGAAACTAGAGACCCTTCCAAAATCAAGGAGCCCTAGAAAGCTGACTAATAATTCTGACTTACTTTGAGTCAAAGGCAAACCAAGTCATAACTTTCACTAATGACTTAAAAAAGAAGAAACAGGTTTCACTGATTAGATGAATTTATTTCCTCTGATTACTATAGGAGGTAGTTTATTTTCAAGCTAAATACAGTGGATTCTTTCTCACCTAAGGTGATATCACACTTCAAAAACAATGGGGAAATAGGCAGTTAACTTGTTTTAAAGCATTTCTATCTGAATTTAAAGAATAAAACGAGTTCACAGGTTTACAGAATCTAAGCTTGATAACATTTTTTCCTTGGTAGAAGTTTTTTATCAGTGTTTCAGAAAATATGCTTATTCCTACTAATGACTGCTAATGCATCTTCTTAGCTCTTACTAGCTAACTGATTTATTAGATACCAGGAATAGATAATCAAACATTCAAGAATAACACCAAGGAACAAGACCATGCCTTACTAAAGAGATTGGCATTTCGGGGGAAGGGGGACATGGCAAGTGAAAACTGTGAGAGCTCACTACACTCAGGTCAGGCAGCAGACAGTCCATTATGCATGCAGTCCTTCCTCGCCACAAGAACGGATATAAGCTGGCCTCTGGGCAGTCTTGGAGAGAGCACATTATCAAATGCATATCTTTCTGGCTTCCTCTATCAGCTGATTCAGCAAAAAATCACCCAGGCAGCAGTGACTCCACACAGCAAAAGGCACAGTTATTTCCAGTTAGTCAATTAGAGCGTGTCAAAAGTACTATGGCAAACACAGACAGTACAGTAAATGCTCCTACCAGGGAAGAAGATGGTAAGGTCATGAAAGTAACGTACAAACAATGCATTTCCAATCTTATAGTACACTACAGGTGGTTCATAAGTTACTTTACAAGGTCCTCCATTCTAAATGTGAGGTAAAATTCCACTTTCAGTAATAAAAGTCTACCCTGTTAGCAGAGTATACTCACTTAGCAGGGAACTAAGGTTGCCTCTCAGTTCAAAAGGCTGGATGTTCTGCTGACGACACCTCTTTTGAATCTTTCCTGGCCCCACACTAGCACTGAGGTATAAAAGCCTCACTTGAAGTAGGAATAGGAAACGAAAAAAACCAAAAAGTTGAACATTTCTACTTCCAAGGCACTCAGATGTATCAGTCAGACGAATCAACTTAGAAACCAATCACTTAAAGCCAAAGAGCAAGACATCTAGAATGACACTGCCAGGACTTCCCTGGTGGTCCAGTGGTTAAGACTCCACGCCCTTCCACAAGAGGGGGCATGGGTTTGATCCCTAGTGGGGGAACTAAGATCCCAAATGCCACACAGTGCAGCCAAAAAAAATAAATAAAAATAAACAGAATGACAATGCCTTTGGAAAATAAAATAAATAACTCAAAGAACTCAATAACCCCATCCCACAAAAACTCTAGTACTTTCAAGTTTGGGTTTCTTGCCTTTTAACCTCAATTATATTCTCTGTCTCCCCATTCTCAAACCTTTGCACTGTCACAAAGACATTTAGTGATAACATTTTTTCCCTTGATATAACCAATTAATTTTAACATAAAATTTATTACTAGCACCCTTATCTGAAAATAATTCAAGGTACACGAATACTTTATACAGTATAAAAGTTATCTCAACTAGACACAGGCAAGATTGACAAGAATTATGACTAGCGACTTGTTAAAGGATTATATCTTAAATGACAACAGAAGATATTGCTTCTTTAAGAACAGCACTGCCAAGATGCTGCTGAGAAATGACACAATATGGAAAACCTCTTCTATTCAATTATCAAATGAGAAACTGCACCAAGAAAGGTTGTATTTAGGCTCACTAAATAATAAACAAACTAGAATGGATTAAGTTACCTAAACAACTGAAAAGAATTCACTGTGATTTTAAAAACAAATCAAAAGTTCACAAACTCAAACTTAAGTTTCTAATCAAAAACAGTTTTATTAAGACAACAATATTCAATTGCTTTTTTAAAATATGACCCACGATATGATCACATCCTATAGTTAAAGAAAGGAATTTGCAGTGACTTTCCTTTTCATTACTAGTATCTTGAAGTTCTTCCACTTTAAACATTTTATAACTGTAGCCATCTACATAAAAAATATATATGTAAGTATAAATTAAATAATAAAATCTGTATATGAAACATCACATTTCTTAAATAAAGCTGATAATATTCATTATCACTTGGTTAACCTCATCTAATACTAAATTTGGTTCATTATATATCAAATACTAGGCTGCTAAAAGCTATAAAAAGAATATACACATTAACTGACCATCATTTAATAAGAACTTCCAACTCTTCAACCACATTTAGTTTTATACAGTCTGTTATAAACTAATGTACTGGACAAAAATTTCATTCAACAAATCAATCATAATATCTCAGACCTAACAGTTATAACCTGAACTGGTAATTTTCACACTGGTTTATAAATAAACTTGGAGATCTTTCTACTTTCAACTATATTCATAGTCCAAACTCACCAAGAGTCTTTTTTAAAATTAAATAAGGCTGAAGTCTAGACAAGTTTTTCTAGATTCAGCAGAACCCTAATTGCTCAACCATAAGTTGTGAAAGAAAAACTATCAAGATGCAAGACAGCAAAGTTCCTATGATCAGCCCCACGAACAATCAGCTGATGGTTAATTACTGCGGACCTTCAATTAGACTGAAAAGAAAATGGTGCAGACTAGGTACACTGGTATTTTCAGAAGATGTGGCTCTGACTGAGTTAATGTCCAGCACAGTATTTGCCAATAGGAGTCATGATTGAATTATCCTTCCCTTATGTGTCGGTCGCACAGGGCCTTAATCACACTGTGCATAAATGTAGAATGAAAGTTTTTAAAATAGTCAAGTTTTAAAATTAAAATTCACCACCACCAACAGTCTCACTGTTGAGCTAAAGATTAATGTTCAAGAACAAATACATAATTTAAAATAAATCTCCTACTCTCCCCACATTACAGTTCCACTTGAACCACTCCATCCTACACCAATCAGGATATCCCTTCAATTTCAACTGATTAGAGCTACAAACTAATTTACAATTCTCTCAACTATTAAGTTTGCTAGGTTAAATCTTCTTCCAAGTCGACAGCTGCAGCTCATCTCAGGGAATATCTACATAGAATTAAAACCATTTTAAAATGAAATTATTGTTGCTTCTCTTTAAATTAAAATTGTATAAATAAGAAATTGGCTATATAATCATCACAGAAGTTAAAAAGTGACTCATATCCTGTTAAGAGCTTTTTTAAAAAGTGGAAATCTTTCTCAGCAGAATTTTTAAAAACACTCTACCAAACAGCAAAGTGTACAACAAATGAAACCAAAACCTGTGGAAAAATAAAATACTTTAGAAGGCTCTAGTTTTAAGTTTCTTTACCAATACTTAAATGCTCTTCCAATTATAGATTTAAGTTTAAAAAAAAAAAACTGTTAAGAACCATAGTAACTTCTTTAACATTATCTGAGTTCTCAGAGAAGCTAAAACTTTACAGTCTCACTTAATTCTCACAACAGCCCTGAGAGATACTATTTTCTTTTTACAGATGAGGGAACTGAGGCTCAAAAAAGTCAGCTTTCCCAAGGTCACAAAGCAAATACAAGATCTGAGGCAGTAATCTGAAACCAGGCCTGTGCGATTCCAAAGCCCTGTGCTTTCTCAATCATTGTTAGCAAGGTGGTCTAAACCCAAAGCTAAGTTTAAATCCCTTAAGCCAATCCAGGGTACTAAGTATTTTTGGTGAGGAAATAACTAGGTTCTATAACCAACATTCAAGTTGTAAACCAAACAAGAGAAATACTCTGATAGTCTATCTTGTCCTAAATTAATTACTTCAAAAGCAGCCCTTATTTAAAAAAACAAATCTCCCTTTAATGACTAAACCCCAGTCTCCAGGGTCTCACTTAAGTAATTTCACCAGACCTCAGAAGCCTTCAGCCAACAGTATGTAAACTAATCCATATTTCTTTTTTGTATTTGTAAAATGATTAAGTACCCTCTTCTCTGTAAACAAATTCCCACTGTCAGGTGGTGGGAGTGGATACTGAAGGTACTCACTCAACAGAAAAATTTCTGGCCCAGAAGAGTAAGTGGTGGTAGGCCTATCAACTAGTAGGCCAAGGTTTGCAGAGTACTGGTAAAGCAATGTTTCCTGCTTTGTTTAACCATACTTAGAACCCAGTGGCAAAGTCAGAAAGAGTCACTAAGCTTAACATTCTTTTTAAACTCCACCCTTCACCGTAAAGCTTTAATAGTAATGGCTTCTTCCTCCCTGGTAATGATCTTTGTTCAGCATACTACTGATGGCTGCCCTCCTAACTCAGGATCAGAGAAACAGCATCAGAGAGAGAGCATTCATCCAACAAAAAAAAGGCATTTACTGTACTTTCCTCTCAAGGAAAACTGTACCTATTACCTTTGTTGATTAAAAAAAACTACTTGGATTCTTTCCGGACTAACCAATAAGCAATTCTTTTTTCCACTCCCCATCCTCCACTCTGTTTTGTCCAAGGGCGCTACATGGTTCCCTATCTTATGAAAAATAGTTAATTTGACCAAAGAGCACACAACTTCCCCATGCTCCCCCACCTTTGGGGAAAGGTATGTGGCCAACCAAGACGCTTCCCTTTCTGTTCTAAAAACACCAAAAGGTTGGATCCTCCCAGTGTTGCAGCAGGAAGCAACCAGTCCGTAGCGATAAAGCAAGCTATTTGTGCAGCGTACAACCTTTCCTGCTCAGGAACTGGGCCTTCAGGTCTGGCAAGGATAACAGCCACCACCCATCCGCAACCCCTAGTCTCGGACAGTCAAGAGTTATCCCAGGCTGGTTGCCGCTGGGTAGGGAGGGTAGGAGAAACGAAGGTTGGGTGGGAAGTCACATCGGTCTGCCGGGTCACTGCGACAAGTGCGCGCGTGGGTGCTGGGACAATCCCTCCTGCCCTGCTCCCCACCGCCGGGGTCGCACGAGCGACGTGGGAGAGCTCGTAAACTACTCCGGGAGGGAAGGCAGAAAAAGAGCTATCAATGCCGGGGGCCATGCGAGGTTTCGGACCGCGAGAAGTGTGGAGCGGGTGGGGGTGGGGACGCCGACCCGCTCGGATTTTCAACCAGGGCCTGGCCCCGGGGATATTAGAGGGCTTAGGAGAGGCGTCTGTCCGAAGGCAGGTGAAGGGTTCGCCCGAGGGAAAAGGGAGGCAGATAAGAAAAAGATCTGTATGGGAGAGTGCGCCGAAAGAAAGGTGAAGACTTAAGGGAAGGGCCTGTCGGAGGGGCTCAGAAGGGTGTATACCGAAGGGGAGGGGGCGCTGAACCCGAAAAGATGGATGGTGGGAGGGGCGTCCCATTAAGGGGGCCCCGGAACCCGGGGAGGAAGGAAGGCGATTTGAGAGACGGCAGCCGGCCGCGAGAGGGGCGCAGGGTAGGGACCGTGAGGCTTCCTAAGGCCTCTGGGGAGGTCGCTATGAGACCGCTGTGTGGTGAGGACCCCCATCCGTGAGTGGAAGGAAAGGGGCTGAGCTGGGAGACCTCAGGACAAGCCGCACAGGGAGGAAGAGCTGAGGAAGGCCGATCTCAGGGCAGGGGCAACCCGCGGGCGGGTCCCCCGGGAGTGTCCCGGGCCCCCGAACCGGGACTCCAGGGAGAGTTCCAGAGCCCACGGCCTCACCTTTAAAGAGGTAGTCATACTCGTCGTCGCGGGTGCCCATTGCGCGGCCGAGAAGCGAAGGGGCGGAAGCAGCAGTGGTACCGGTGGGACCAGGGGGCGTCGCTGCAGGGGTAACCCGAACGCCGAGCTTCAGCTGCCGGACCGGGTAAAGAACCCCTCCCTACCGCTACGCCACTTCCGGCAGGCCCCCACCCCTAAGGGGAAGTACTTCCGGGGACGGCGCCCCGCCCCTCAGCCCAATAAAGAGGGCGTGCGCAAGTTTGGTGTCTGTCGTCCAAGCTTCCCAGGTTTGGAGGGGTTTCGCGTGGCTTAATGAGCACTGTACTCCCGGCTTACCTCACTCATAGAGGCTGCTCTCCATACATAATAGTCGCTCCCTCACTCCACTCGCCGCTATTCGGGGAAGCGGGGCACCGGAGAGCGCTTCAGTACTGCCTCTCGTGGTCGGTTTGTGGATGGGGGTGGGGTTCTCTAAGCATTAGTGAGCCCAAGGCAGCGTTGTGAGCGTGGCGGTTCCATGGTGTAATGGTTAGCACTCTGGACTCTGAATCCAGCGATCCGAGTTCAAATCTCGGTGGAACCTGCGCTCCTCCCACTTTTGGTTTAGATTTTGTTTTTTCTTTGGCCACGATTCTATAAGTCCTGTACTTATTCACAAGGTGACTCTTGTACACCTGCGGGGTATATGTGTCCTTGAACTAACTGGGGAGGGAATGTCACAAAACTCAGTTGCCTAGGAAGACCACGTACATTTCCTTCAGTTCTGTACTCTGTTTACCTAGGTGTCTCCTAAGTATCCTCGACACTTAACCCGTCTTGTTTTTTTAACCTCGGCCGTCTTCTAAAGCTTCCATGAAAAGTTGATTCCTTTTGCTAGAATTTTCAACCTCCAACTTCATACGAGGGCAGGCACTTTCCACTCCTTCTCTCCAGAAATCTCTCAAACTGTCTCCAGATGTATTCACAGAACCTCGCCCACCCTCCTCATCAAGATTCATCAAGAACTTCTTGAACCCTATTTGTCATCCTTTAAGCTGAAACTGGTTACATAATTATTTTCTTTAACATGCAGAGCAAAGGATGACAATTTCCATTTTTGTAGAAGTGTGGATGAGGAGATTCAAGTGATTTGCCAAAGATAACACAGCAGGACCTCCCTATATGTGAAGAGACTTATGGCTCAGTGGTAAAGAATCTGCCTGCCGATGCAGGAGACTCTGGTTTGAACCCATCCCCTGAAGGAGGAAGTGGCAACCCACTCCTGAAAAACCCCATGGACAGAGGAGCCTGGTGGGCTATCTAGTCCACGGGGTCCCAAAGAGCGGGAGACAACTGAGTACGCAAGCACTGTATTTATGCCAAAAGCTCTTCCCACTTACTGTCAAACCTTACTACACCTATGTGCAATTTAGAGTTTTCATCAAGGGTGCCTGTAGTAAGTAGAATAAAGGCTTCCCCAGAATGTCCATGTCCCAATCCTTGGGACCTGTGAATATACTAGATTATGTGGCAGAGGGGAATTAAGGTTGCAAATCAACTGACTTTAAAGCAGGATAATTATCCTCAGAGTCTCCATATGGGCCTAATGTCCTCTCAAGTGTCCTTAAATGTGGGAAAGGGAGGTCAGAGTGCTGTGGTGTGAGAAGGCCTCAGCTGGCCCTTCTGCCTTTGAACATGAAGAAACAGGACCAGGAGCCTAGGAATGCAGAGGCTTGCAGAAGATGGAAAAGGCAAAATACAAATAAGAGGAGATGGAAAAGGCAAGGAAACGGAGTCTTCCCTAAGGCCACCAGAAAGAACACAGCCCTGCTGATACCTTGATTTTAGCCCGGTGATACCCATGTCAGACTTCAGACCTATAGTACTATAAAATAATAAATTTCTGTAGTTTTAAGTCACCAACATTGTGGTAATTTGTTACAGCAGCAATAGAAAACTAATACAGTGCCATTTTCAGTGCTTTCCAAAGCAGTATATGGCAACAGAAGGTTTACTAAAGGATCAATAACAGTTCTGAAGGAGTAACTAATGAGCAGAATGAGCGATTCTGGCAACAAATGCCACACTTCAGAGGGACTGAGATAATTAGGAAGAACTCCCTGGGGACTTCGCTGGCAGTACAGTGGCTGAGATTCTAAGCTCCCAGTTCGGGGACCTGGGTTGGATCCCTGGTCAGAGAACTAGATCCTATGCCGCTCACATACCAAAACTAAAGATCCGAATGCCATAAGGTAGGCTGAAGATCCCATGTGCCACAACAAAGACCTGGTGACCTGGTGCAGTCAAATAAATAGTAAAAACAAATGAACAAAAAAAGAACTACCTGGAAGAGGAGGAGCTAGCATTGACTCCTGAAGGAAGAAGCAAGTAAGGAAGCTCATTTGGGGAAGTGGAGAAGATTAGATGATAAGAGCTTGTTAAGTAAGGCTGTTAATGCCAGAGAAATAATCATGAACTTTTTCCCTTAAGTCATTATTTCTCAATGTGCATCTTGAGAAGATCAATAGTATTCCTCAAATGAAGGATTTCATGCTCAAATAGATTGAAATGCACTGTACACTGTCTCTCCTGCCTTAGAAGTTCCCCTAATACTCTGGTGTTTTAAAGTCTAAATATCCCACTCTGAAGGAAAAAAATTTTAACTGTATGAAACACAGCATTTCTCAGATTCACCTGTGAACAAAAAAGAACAGAGTATCATTCATCATTCATTTACACAAGGATTAAATCACAACCCATTACAGTCACCCACAGTGCCAGAGTGCATCCTGAGGAGAATTTAAGATGGAAAAAACTGGATAAGGCATTCTGTGCTTTGGACAAACAGCCCCTAGATACTTAAGATGCTTAAGATAGTTAAGCATAGTTAAGTTTTTTTCCCATACAGAAGTTTTAACTTTTTATTTACTCAAATCTTTCACAGTCCTTTGGTTTCTGAATGTTGCATTTCACATAAGCTTCCTCTCCACACAAGATTTTTTCAAAAAACTTATTTTTTCAAATATTTTTACAACTTTTTTCTCCATCTGAATTTTATGTAAACTGAGGGTGAAGTAGGGGTCTAAATTAGTTATTTCCAAATGGATAGCCAGTTGTTTCAACATCATTATTTGAAAAATCTTTCCCCCACTGTTACAAATGTCTAATTTATTATAAATAAATTTCATACATATAAGTCTATTCTTTAATCTTCATAATATACCTCTTGACAGCCATAGAGGAACACTGCTTAGATGTCCCTTCAAGAAAGAGGCTGTTGGGGACTTCCCTGTGGTCCAGTGGCTAAGACTCCGTGCTCACAATGCAGGGGGCTCAGGTTCAATCCCTGGTCAGAGAACAAGATCCCACATGCCGCAACTAAGAGTGTGCATACCACAACTAAAGATCCTGCTTGCCAGAACTAAGACCCAGTGCAACCAAAGAAATAAATATTAAGAAAGAGTCTGTTGTGAGAAGTGTAGCTCGCTGATGGTCTCCAGTTGCCACACCTCCAAGGCCCACACTCTCTCTGTACTGCTCCCAGACAAGGACTGAGCACCTTGGGGGTACTAGAACTGGGCCAGTTCTGTCCAAAATGGGACCCCTAATGGGCACTCTTCTTCTAGATCTCTCAATTGCACTGAGATTTTCTCAGAATTGCGTTATAGTCCAAGGTTCTTCCTATCCAGTCCTTCTTTCCCACTCTCCTTGCATAGGTGTTGAACCTAAATTGTGGTCTGAATGCCCTACTTCTCCCTTTTGTCTTTCCCCCCGAAATAAACTCTTTTGCTTCTAATTCACCGGGTCATCTTCCAGAGGACCTGACCCCGATACGGTCCCATTGGTCAACTTTTCTCCTCCTATGCCGATACCACATTGCTGTATCACGACTTTGCAGGCTATTTTGATGTTTGAGTGTGGCATTTTGTTTTTGTTTTTTGGCTGCACTGGGTCTTCATTGCTGCGCAGGCTTTTTCTCTAGCTGTGGTGAGCAGGGGCGACTCTTGCTGGCAGAGCTCAGGCTTCTCACTGCCGTGGCTTCTCCAGCTGCAGAGCGCAGACCCTAGGCGCGAGCACTCAGTAATTGCGGCTCACAGGCTTAGTTGCTGTCAGGGTTTTGATTAGGGTTTCACTACTGATCATTAAAAATACCTTTTTCAGAAAGGAAAGAATTTGCACAGGACATCCAAAGATACGACATTCTGCCTATAATGATGCAAAAGAGGGAGATCTAAGGCTTAATAACTATTTGGAAGAATGATCAATAGAAAGGGGGAAAGGATAAAAAACAGAGAGCAAAAATGTTGACATTAATTTCAGGCATGCCTAATTTTAACAGCTGGTAAGAAAACCAAAAGGAAGTACCCAGTAAGAAGCCTAGAAATATAGATTGAGAAATGTCTTGGCCCTAGAATATATAGAAGAAGCAAATTCTAGAATGTATCTCATCTTCCACAGCCTGGGAGCAGCTCTAAATGATTATTGAAAACAAACTGGGAACTGATAGGCCTGTGTTTAAACTCCAGGTCAGCCATTCACTTGTTGTACCACTTTTAATAATTTACCTAATCCCACTAAAGCTTGGTTCCTTGTCTGCAAAATGGGGACAGATGTGATTGAAATAGTATGAGTATAGCTTGCACCATACCTGGCACATAGCAAATGGTCATTAATGCACTGGGTCTCAACTGGGGTCAGTTTTGACCCCAAGAAATTTGAATATCTGGAGACCATTATGGTGTGTACTTGGGAGGCACCCCTGCCATCCTGTGGGTAGAAACATTCTATAACAGACAGGACGTCTCCGCCACAACAAAGAATTATCTGGCCCAAAATATCAGTAGTGCCAAGGCTGAGAATCACGAGTTAATTATAAGGATTATCCAGAGGCCAGGCCAAGACCTTTAATGGGAAAAGGGCAGGATGCAGTGAGCATCACCTCTCCATCCTGTCTCCTTTTAGAAAAGTTGAACATATCGCTCAAACATCAGAAAGGATGACCCAGACAGACAAACCTCTCTTCATAAAGCAGAGCCCAGGGACCCACAAACCTGATACAAAACACTTCCATGTGAGGATCCTATTCATTAAGTAAACAGATCAGTTTTCTATTCTTGACCCAAAAGGATTTTTGCAGTGTCATTCAATTTGTAACTATTTGTTAAACCCTATGTATCAGTTTTATGCATGTTTTTGTAATGACATTAGGTTTGCTTCACCATAAAAAGAATTTTTTGAGAGAGAAAAGTAAACAGACCTAATGAAGTGATGAGATTTGTTTTCTGTGCTTTTTGTCTTTTCCACTGAGTATATTGTAAGGTAACAAATTGTGTACAAAACCAGGAAATTCTCAACTTTGATTCTGATTATAGTCACTAGAGCACCAACTAGTCTTAAAGAAAGAAATAATTTTAAAATATTTATTTATAAACATGTATTCTATATAAAAATAGATAGAATACATGTATATTACAAATGGCTTATTATTTATAACCAAATGCTAGGTGGCTCCACATAGATTTTTTTTCCATATCATGAAATCTGAATTAGAATAACTTCTAACTTTTATTTTAACAGTTTACTCTTCACATATTCTTAGCCTTTTAGGTTTGGTACTCATAGATTATAAATCATATAGCACAATCATTTTTCAAAAATCAAAAGGAAGGACACCAAGAGAGTAAAAAGAACCTGTAAGAATGGAGAAAATACTTACAAAATCAAATATATGATAAATGATTAATATCCAGAATATATAAAGAACTCTGACAGCTCAACAATAACAAAGAAACAACCAAAGTCAAAAATGGGCAAAGGACTTCAATAAACATTTTCCCAAAGAAGATTTATGAACCACCAATAAGCGCGTGAGAAGATGCTGAACCTCATTAGTCATTAGGGAAATGCAAATCAAAACCACATGAGATACCACTTCACACTCATAAGGACGGCTTTTATTAAAAAACAAAACAAAATGAAACAGAAATAAGAAGTGTTGGAGAGGATGTGAAGTAATTCGAAACCTATACATTGCTGATGAGAATGTAAAATAGTACAGACTCTGTCAAACAGTTTTGTGGTTCTTTTAACAATTACACTTACAATTACTATATGATACAGCAATTCTACTTCAAAAAAGTGAAAGCAGAGACTGAAACAGATAGATGTACACCAACGTTCACAGCATGGCCGAGCTGGAAACAACACAAGTTGCGTCACAGAAGAATGGATAAGCAGAATATGTTTTATACTAACAATGGAATATTATTCAGCCTTCATAAGGAATGAAATTCTGATACATGCTACAACATGAATGAATCTTGCACACAGTATGCTAAGTGAAATAAGCCAGGATCGAAAGGACAAATACTGTCTGATTCCACTTATATGAGATGCCTAGATTGTGTAAATTCTTAGAGATGGTGGTAGTGGTCAAGAACCGGTATTTCAATGCAGGAGATGTAAGAGACATGGGTTCGATCCCTGGGTCGGGAAGACCCACTGGAGGAGGGCATCGCAACCCACTTCAGTATTCTTGCCTGGAGAATGCCATGTACAGAAGAGCGTGGCGGGCCACAGTCCATGGGGTCAGATGCAACGGAAGCAACTTTAGCACAGCACAGTGCAGAAAGGGAATAGGGAGTTTTTGTCCACTAGGTACAGTTTCCATTTGGGATGATGAAAAAGTCCTGGAAATGAATAGTGATGATAATTATGAAGTTATCATAAATGTACTTACTGCCAGTGAACCATTTAAAATAGTTAAAATGGTAAATTTCATGTTATGTATATTATTTATTTATTTGGCTGCGATGGGTCTTGGTTTCGACATGAGGGATTTTCATTGCGTCATGTGAGATCTTAGTTCCCAGATCACGGATCGAACCTGCATACCTTGCAATGCAAGGCAGATTCTTAACCACCAGACCACCAGGGAAATCCCTGTTACATGTATTTTAACACACACATAAAACTAAAAGGAGTTGGATCTCAGTTTTTATAAAATGGACAGAAACAGGAAACAAAAGGTCAAAATAAAAGGAAAGATAGTTGTAGAAAACGGATGTAAGGGGATGGGGAATGCTACTATGAATTCCTCAGTCTTCCCAGGAACTCTGTCATCCTGGGGCTGTGTGCCTTTTCCTGAAGGCCTCCCAGAATTCCTGTGGGCTAGCTGCTTACTAGCAGCTAGAAAGTTAGCTTATTAATCCTCATCCACGCCCAACCCGGAAATTCCACCATGGCAGAGAAATTTCTTTGAATGAATACCAATTACCAGCCCCCTTTCATCCTCACACTCCTACCCTATGCCTATTGTGTGTTTACTACTGCATCTCAGAAAAGTGAATTTGCTTTGGTATTGTGGGACTCCATTAAGTCTATGTAATCTCCCATGTGAATAAGAGCCATGCTCGCTCAAAAGAAAAGAAAAACCTAGCTGACCACCAGAGTCTCATTTTTGTTTCTCCATCATTTACTTGGAAAAAAGGTAGGACCTTTAGTAATCTAAAAATAAAAAACTGCAATACTAAATTGGTCAGGGTTACCAAAAAAGAAGATAAAAGTGACCCCTTTAGAACAGAGGAATAATTACTATATGACCTAGTCAATCCACACCTAGGTATTTATCTAAAAGTTGTGAAAGCATATATATTAAAAGTTGTATGTGAATGTTTGTAGCAGACTAATTTGTAATAGCAAAAACTGGAAAGAGCCCAAATGTCCATTAACAAGTGAACAGACAGGTAAGTTTTGGTATAGTGTATCCACACAGTGGAATACTATTTGGAAATAAAAAAGTAACAAACTGCTGATACATACAACAAGCTGGATGAATCTCAAAATTATCATGCTGAGTGAAAGAAGCCAGAGAAAAGAAGAGTACATAATGTATGATTCCATTTACACAAAATTCTATAAAATGCAAACTAATCAAAGAGTAGAGAAGGGAGAGAGGGATTAAAAGATAAGAGGACATCTGAGGGGATAACAAATACAGCTATTATCTTCATAGTGGTGATGATTTCACAGGGGTATACAAACATCATAATCATCAGATTTCACACTTCATACATGGAGTTTATTGTTTTGTAAGAAGAAACAGCAGGAAAACACAAAAGTAGACAGAAGTTTCTCCCTCATCTCTAATATTCTTTTTTTTTAAATTTTGAATAGTCTATTTTTTAGTACAAATAAATTCTTTTTTTCTCCCAAACTTTAAACTTTTTATTTTGTATAAGGGTATAGCCCATTAACAATGTTGTGGTAAATTCAGGTTAACAGCAAAGGGACTCAGCCATACACATATAAGTATTCAATATTCTTGAAAGCAAAGTTGGAATACCCAGATCACACACACACACACACACACACACACACACACACACACACACACACAAAATCCTTGCTGCTCTCACACTCACTAATCACTAGTCAAAGGCGTATTTCCTTTACAGTATCTCTGAGATGTATCCGTTCCCATTCTTAGCGACTGGCCCACTCTAGGCTCTCCACCCCCATTGTTAAGTTACAACCTAGTCTTACCCTCCATCCAACATGCAGGTGGCTGCCAGAATAATCTTGACAAAGGACATCACAAACTCCTGTTATTCAGAGTCATCATAGAAAAGCTATAGATCCATGCCTGAAAACAAGAGTATTAAAAAAAAAAAAATTAGTAGTGGTTATCTATGGAGAGAAGGTGATTTTTATTCTCTCTCTTTCTCTATATTTTACAGTAGATTTTTTTAAAGTGAAAATATCCTTATTGGTTTTGCTTGTTACAGAAAAAGTGAATACTCACTGTAAAATATTCAAATAATAAGAACAATATGAAAGTATAGTAAAATTAGAAAATGAAATTTGTTTCCTCCTTGTGATCAACATTGTGGTTTCATCGCCAACATCCACTCTACGCCTTCCATCCAGGAAGCAGCCGGGCAGTTTGGGTGGGATTATCTCCACTCACAGCTTCGGAAATAGCTTCTGGAATGGTCTAAACTGGCAATTCTTAACACTAACATCCAAACCCTTATATTATAACAAGCATTTCATAACACTGCCTTACCATCCTGACTTGTACAATCAATAGGTCATGTATTGTGATATACCTTCTATTATGACATAATGCTATAATATAAAGGAGAAATAAAAGGAAAATAATACCTTATGAAATGTTATGTATTTCAATATGGAAATGCTTGGGCACAACTATAATAAAAGATATAATGAAGTAGTTAAGACATTTGTACCTAAGGGCAGAATCACCGTTTGTTGGACAGTTTTTGAGAACTGTGTGTCAGGCACTGGCTAAAATTTATGGGGCAAACAGACAGAAATCCCTTTTCATGGAGCTTACATTCTAACAGGGTAGTGGAATACAAACAACAAACAATTGGCATAATACAACAGAACACGTAAGTAAATTATATATTACATTGTAAGGTGATAAGTATTACTGGGGTAAAAAGTAGAACAGGGTAAGGAAAAACCAGCATTCAGAACAGTAGGGAAGTAGGTAATAAGTTGCAATTTAAACTAGTGGTCAAGACTACTAGACCGTAACATTCAGTTTGAAGGAGGAAAGGGAATGAATCATGAATGATACTTCTAGGGGGAAGTATCCAAGCAGAGGGAATAGCCATGCAAATGATCGAAGGCGGAAGCCTGCGTGGTGAGTATCTGGGCTGTAAGTAGCCAGTGAGGTGGCCTGAAGTGAGTAGTAGGAGAAAAAGCAGAAGTAGGAGATGGGTCAGAGAGGAAACAGAACCACATCTCCCAGGGCCTCAAAGAACATTGTAAAGCTTGCACTCTGAGTAAAATGATGCAATGTTAGAAGGTTGATAAGCGAGGAATGACATGCTTTGACCCGCATTTTATTAATAAAAGGAAAAATCTGGCCACTCTGTTGAGTAGATTGGAAGACCAGCTGGAGAGGTTGCCATAAGAATCCAGGTGAGAAGTGAAAGCAACAGCTACAAATGCAGACTAAGATTTGGTAGAGTATTTCATCTGAGATGTCATTGATTGCAGGATACATCCTGGCTTCAGAGATAAAATATGCAATGTGAATTGCATTATGCAGTGTGAACTGCAATATTCAGAAGTGGTGTCAGCTGTTCAAAACATGATTTTCTGAAGTAATGAACAACTCTTGGTTAAGTTCCAAATGAAACAAAATACTATTTTCTCTCAATTTACCCATAATTCTCCCATCTTAAAATTCAATTCATATTAAGACCATAAACAAGTAGTTCATGTTCATATATAAAATGGAGTTAGGGTCTAGGTTCAGATTATTATAGACATGTTTCAAAAATCTACATTAATGTCAAACAGGACATTAAAAATCATGCAAGATAAGGGGAAAATCTGTAATGTTGGATTGTTCCATACATTATGAGACTCTTGAGAGTCCCTTGGACTGCAAGGAGATCAAACCAGTCAGTTCTAAAGGAAATTGCTCCTGAATATTCATTTGAAAGACTTTGCTGAAGCTGAAGCTCTAATCCTTTGGCCACCTAATTCAAAGTGCTGACTCATTAGAAAAGACCCTGATGCTGGGAATGATTGAAGGCAGGAGAAGGGGACGACAGAGGATGAGATGGTTGGATGTCATCATCGACTCAATGGACATGAATTTGAGCAAGCTGTGGGAGTTGGTGATGGACAGAGGAGCTGGCAGACTACAGCCCATGGGGTAGCAAAGAGTCAAACACAACTTAGTGGCTGAAAAACAATATACATTATGAAATATCTATTATCTTTGGCCCATATTCTAAATAATCACTGTGACAACTAAAATTGCTCCCAAAATTTACAAAGAGGTCCCTAGGATGATTCAGGAGCAGACACATGACCCTTACATACCATCATGGTCCAATCAGAGCAAAGCCTAGGGTGGCTGTTTGACAAAGAGAAAAAGGAAAACCAGTACTTCTGGCAGGGCCTGAAGGAAGAAGCCCCACGCCCGAATGCGCCAGCAACCCTTCCACCACCAGGGGGAGCCCCCTTGGGATGAGGCTTTTACTTTTTTTGATGTAGTATTGTATTTTTTTTTTTAATTATGGTAGAACATACATAAATGTAACATCTTAACCATTTTAAAGTCCACATTCACATTATTGTGCAACGGATCTCTAGAACTCTTTCCATCTTGCAAAAAGAAACTATACTATTTAAACAACTCCCATTTCCCCTCCTACCCACAATCCCTGCCAACCTCCATTCCACTTTCTGCCTCTTAAGAGTTTAGCCTTTCTAGGTACCTCAGTGGTAAAGAGTCCACTTGTCAGTGCAGGAGACATGGGTTCGAGCCTTGGGTTGGGAAAATCCCCTGGAAAAGGAAATGACAATCCACCCCAGTATTCTTGCAGGGAGAATCCCATGGACAGAGGAGTCTTGCCAGCTGCAGTCCATGCAGTCACAAAGAATCAGGTGTGACTGAACACACTCACACAGGTGCCACATATATGTGGAATCATATGGTATTTGCCCTTTTCTATCTGATTTATTTCACTTAACATGATGTCCTCTTACCCTTCCCTTTGAAGGCAAGGGCAAGACAGAGAAAAAGCTGGCAGCTGAATTACACTGTTGAACTCCTGCATCAACCCTTTACCAAAAGCCCACTTCACCTCTGAACATTTTGGTTACTTGGTCAATATATTCCATTTATTATTTAAGCACATTTGTGCTTATATTTTCTATTATTTACATGTGAAAAGATGATAACTGATACCCTCCCTTTTTTTCCTCAAATAGAATTATCAGTTTGGTATATATTCTTTCAGACTATCTAATATACAAATAGAGATGTGTGTTTTATTTTTATATATGTGAAATCATATAATACTGTTGAGAAACCTAATTTTTTCTCTGACTTCTTTCAATGTTAATAAATACAGATTTAGCTGTATTTATTTTAAATATTAAAAATTAATTTAAATTAATTTAAAAGTTAAANTATGGATGTGAGAATTGGACTGTGAAGAAAGACGAGCGCCGAAGAATTGATGCTTTTGAACTGTGGTGTTGGAGAAGACTCTTGAGAGTCCCTTGGACTGCAAGGAGATCCAACCAGTCCATCCTAAAGGAAATCAACCCTGAATATTCACTGGAAGGATTGATGGTGAAACTGAAGCTGATTATTTATTTAAAATAATCAACCATAATTAACTACTCTAACACAACTCTTCGTTTTTCTGTGTTCTCTACCAGTCTTTGCTTTGTGCATACATATTTTAGAGGTTTCCCAGGTGGAGCTAGTGGTAAAGAACCTACCTGTCAGTGCAGGAGACATAAGAGATACGGGTTCAACCCCTGGGTCAGGAAGCTCCCCTGGAGTATGAAATGGCTACTCACTCCAGTTTTCTTGCCTTGAGAATCCTATGGACAGAGAAATCTAGTGGGCTACAGTCCATGGGGGTCACAAAGAGACAGACACAAATGAAGCAACTTAGCACACATACATACATGTTTTAACTATTAGTTGTAATCAATTAAAAAAATATTTAGTGTAGCTAATTTTAAACATATACAAAGTAGGCAGAATAAAATTGTGAAGCCAGGTACCCTGACCCAGCCCCCCAAAACATTAAACTGAAATCAGTCGTGTTCCATCTACTTTACCTGCTACTTGCCCCCACCCACATTTTCTGAAACAAATCCCAGACATCATATCCTTCCATCGGTAAATATTTCAGTAGTAACCATTCAATTTTTCATTCAACTTTTTTCACTTGTAGTCTAAGGAAGACAAAGACATCAATAATTCAACTCAAAAAAACATCTAAGTATTCTGATGTTGGCAGTGAGGATTGATTTGAGGTGCAAGGGAGGAATGTCTAAAAGTTACTATATCTGAAGAGCTTTATTAATGAATCTTTTTATTTTCCCCCATCCTTCTTTTTGTGGTAAGGTACAAGAGAATCCAATTAAAATCCACATGTTGTCACCTACACACCAAATTGAATATAACACAGGCCAAATCACAGTTATCTCTACACATGAAAAATACCCATCAAAACAGATTTTATTTAATACAACTAAATCTCAAAGCAGTTATTAGTCATCTTCTTCAATCATCAATTTTTAAGGATTTCACTATAAACCACCTTGGACATTGTGGGTTTTTTTTTTTTTTTTTTTGGCTTCCCCCCAAGGCTTTTGGGTTTTCGTTTCCGACCCGGGGTTGGATTTTTTCCCCCTGCCTTGGAAGGCAGAGTCTTAACCACCAGACTGCTGGAGAAGTCACATATTTTATTTTTTTTAAGATTTCAGTCTAATTATACATTTGTTCAACATTTCTTGAAAGACAGGTTACCATCTTCCTCCCTTGTTCCATTCATTTATGCTGCAGTATCATGAACAGTGTGACCCCTAAGCCCTTTAGAGAACAGCAGTATTCAGGAGGTGATATTAGAACCCGTCCCCAAAAGAGATTTGGCAAACAAGAAATCGTCATTATTCCCACACTTAACACATACAGCACTTGGTATTCTAGTAGAGTAACTCACAGTGTAAACTGGGGTAGGGGAGTGCTAGAGACTTGTCTTTATTAGTTGTATAAACTTTTTAGACTACTAGTTGCGGTTCTGAGTCAATACACCGTCCCTTACCCTGGCTCTACCCTACAGGATAGATTTTACTACAGATGAGAAAACCAAGACTCAGAGAGAGTTAAGATCAAACACTGGTAGGACTTCCCTGGGGGTCCAGTGGTTAAGAATCTGTGCTTATACTTCAGGGGACATGCATTGGATCCCGGGTCAGGAACTAAGGTCTCGCATGCCAACAAGGCAAATAGATCAAACACTAGCATGTGGTGGAGTCACAATCTGAAGCCCAGCATGTCAGTTGGGATGATTTGGTTGCAAGCCAAAGAAATTTGCTAAATTCAGCCCCAAAAGGGGAGCATTAATTAGAGGCATATTGAAAGAATGAATGTAGCTGAAGGAGACAGGCTGGAACCAGGGCAACAAGGATGACTCCATCCTCTAGTCTGGAAAGTGTGAATATCAGCCTGTTTTTCATCTTCGGTTAAGTATTTTGTACAAGATTTAAAGTTCAGGAAAAGAGACATTGACTGGTTTTTTAACTTCAGAAGGAGGACAGCATATGTAATATATTATTCCACAAAGCAGCTCATGCTTTAGAAGAATTAATTCTTCTAAGGGAATTTAGAGTGTAGCTTTGAAGGGTGAAATAGATGCTGGGTTGCAAGAGAAAAAGTTCTGTGGTAACATCTTGAGTGCACTGTGAAGATCTCCCTTCAGGGAAGGACTTGTCCCAGCTATCAGAGAGTTGCTTGCAGACAGCCTGGCAGGAATTGCCTTTGCTGCAGAGAGATACCTCATCCACGGTTACACCCTTCCAGGGACAGCCCACATTACTGAAGTTAGGTAGAAAGGCCTTACTATAGTCAAAGCTATGGTTTTTCCAGTAGTCATGTACAGATGTGAGAGCTGGACTGCAAAGAAGGCTGAATGCCAAAGAATTGCTGCTTTCAAACCGTGGTGCCGGAGAAGGCTCTTGAGAGCCCCTTAGACTGCAAGGAGATCAAACCAGTCAATACTAAAGGAAATCAACCCTGAATACTTATTGGAAGGTCTGATGCTGAAGCTGAAGCTCCAATACTTTGGCCACCTGATGTGAAGAGCCCACTCATTGGAAAAGACCCTGATGCTGGGAAAGATGGAAGGTGGGAGGAGAAGGGGATGACAGAGGATGAGATGGTTAGATGGCATCACCGACTCTATGGACATGAGTTTGAGCAAGCTCTGGGAGCTGATGATGGACAGTGAAGCCTGGTGTGCTGCAGTCCATGGGGTGGCAAAGAGTCGGACATGACTTAGTGACTGAAGAACATTTCAGCTTAGCGCGGGGACAACTCTGCAAAGCCAGTTTTGCTCCAGAGCCCCGGAAGGGCTGACTGAGCCTGTTGTACAGCCTGCAGCACAGCATAGCTTTTCCCTGTGCCCTCTCCTGCACCCCTCTTCTCCCTTCCATAGGTACTGATTCTGAGACATTATTATTATTATTATTATTATTATTATTATTATTGGCTGCCCTGCCTGTGTCTTAGTTACGGCATGCAGGATCTAGTTCCCTAATCAAGGATAGAACCCAGGCCCCCTGCACTGGGAGCATGCAATCTTAGTCACTGGACTGACAGGGAAGTCCCCTAAGAGAATTTTTTTTCAATAAGTATCCTGTATGCTAAACTCAGTCTCAGAGTTTGCTGTTGAAGAGCCCAATCTGTAAACATCTGCATTCACTGATTCTGACTCCCAAGTTCTACATTCTTACCCCACCAAATGTAATCATGGAGTCAAATGGAATTAAGACTTTTTTGGTTACTGTGTATATATATACATATACATATAAGACATAAAATTTACCATTTTAACTGTATTTTTCAGTGGCATTAAATATATTTCCACTGTCGTGCAACCTCATTATAGCTTTTTATGAATGTTTAGAATCATAAACCCACAGAATATTAGAACTAGAGAGATCTTTATATACTAAAGGATGCAAATTTATTTATCAGAACTTAGCAAACATAAAGAGAAAGAAACAGAAAGATTGATGGGTTATCAGAGAGAAATAAAGCAGGCCCGCCCCTTTTTTCACATGCAAGCAAGAAGTGTAAATTCACTGCTCCCACACAGACTCCAGTTCCCTACCACTTTCCAAGGCAGGCATCTCTCCATGATGAGGGTGATTGTGGATTTAAGATTTATATTTTGCTATAACATAGCACCAAACACAAACCAACCACTTCGTCTGGTTTCAATTAAAAAAAAAAATTACACAGAGGTCTGCCCTCACACTGGACAGAAACAATTATCTGGCTGAGACTTAGTAACAGTTGATGTGTTGGGGCAGCTTAAGGCCTTCCTAAGGGATTTTCAAGGGTAAATTTGACTATATTTAATTTTCATCTTATATGCTGACCTTATAACCTCAGTTATGTGAAATACAACCCCCTTTAAGTTAATCTGCTTTGCAGTAGTATGGCACTAGCTTATATGAAAATCATGATATTGCAAAAAGAAAAGAAAACATGTTTAAGGTGAATGGAAGTACATGGTGAAAATAAACTGAAATAAGTTCTTATTAGATTACTTATGGGTTTCCCTATTTGTAAGATGCTATAGCAGCTAGCAGCGCTGTCCAATAGAAATACAATGCTAGCCACCTAAATAATTAAATTTTCTACTTGGCCACTTTTTAAATTTTTTTTTTTTTGGCCACATTGCACAGCTTATTTCCCCCACTAGGGATCAAACCCACACTGGATCACCAGGGAATTCCCAGCCATATTTTTAAAAAAGAAACAGGTAAAATGAGTAACACCATTCACTTATCCCAACACATACCCAAAATACTGTCACTTCAACATGTAATCAATATAAAAATTGTTAATGACATATTTTACTTTTTCATACTGTGTATTTTGCAGTTACAATGCATCTTAACTTGAACCAACCACAATTCAAGGATTCAGGGGTCACATGTGGTTAGTAATTTCCTTATTGAACAACGCAGACGTCAAACGTTCTCTGATAACAGAGAAATCTCTCATTCCTCTGCAAAGTTTGGTGTAATTGGGTAACATTTGAGGGAAAGATGTAGAAATATATGTGGCTCTATATGTCTAGTCAAGGCTATGGTTTTTCCAGTGGTCATGTATGGATGTGAGAGTTGGACTATAAAGAAAGCTGAGCACAGAAGAATTGATGCTTTTGAACTGTGGTGTTAGAGAAGACTCTTGAGAGTCCCTTGGACTGCAAGGAGATCCAACCAGTCCATCCTAAAGGAGATCAGTCCTGGGTGTTCATTGGTGGGACTGATGTTGAAGCTGAAACTCCAGTACTTTGGCCACCTGATGTGAAGAGCTGACTCATTTGAAAAGATCCTGATGCTGGGAAAGATTGAGGGCAGGAGGAGAAGGAGATGACAGAGGATGAGATGGTTGGATGGCATCACTGACTCAATGGACATGGGTTTGGTGGACTCCGGGAGTTGGTGATGGACAGGGAGGCCTGGTGTGCTGTGGTTCACGGGGTCGCAAAGAGTCAGACACGACTGAGCGACTGAACTAACTGAACTGTATGAAAGCTTTATCTGCCAGAACTGAGGAAGACTTCCATGTATCCTAGATTTAAAAGTGGGCAACAGTCTGATTTTTGGCAGAATGAAAACCCAAACCCAACTCCTTAATGCACCCTTAGCAGAGAGAAGCAACATCTTCCCAGGCAGAACATGAATCAATAGTTTCCAATTCCCCAACAAGCAGTGAATCATTAAAGTTTCAC